TTGTCTTTGGACCCCATCACCAGCATTGAAGCCCTTGTCTTTGGACCCCATCACCAGCATGACTGTGCATGGCTAGGTGTGTAATAGATGTCCTATAGATGCAGCACCATGGGAAATGATGGTATGTCAATCCCGTGCCCTCGGACACGGAGGGTCTGAAGACCACAGATCACTTGGGGAGACGCAAGCCAGTGAAATACTGAATGGAATTCAGTGGCTGATACACCTCTGAGTCTCAGAAGTAATACAGTCTCTGCATTTTTTCAGCTTTGTCTCCCAAGCAGCAACCTGTGGAAACCAGACACCACCAAATTAACTCAGGAATCATCTTTACTGCTGAGCTAAAATACTATCAAAGACAAGGAAATATATTCTACATCAGCATTATACTGCAATCTCTACTGAATAATCATTTCTACTTTTCATCACTGAAGAAGAAAGACAAGAGGAGGAAAAGGAGGAGGAGAAAGAGAAGGAAGAGGAGAAAAAGAATAAGGGGGGCAGAGTGACTGGACGTGCAGGTCCCTTCAGTGCTAACATCGGCTTAGACTGACTACAAAGCCCAGGAAATCTCTTAATGTGGAGAACCCAAGCCTTAGCCCCAGGCCAGGAGAAGCACTCTCTGGAAGGTTCTACTGAGCAAGAAGCACCAGGGAGAACACAGTCTGCATAGTGCCGAATTGTTCTTCAGGTCAAACACGGGGGGAATGTGACCCAAGAGAGCATCAGTCGCTGAGGAAATGAAGCTTATTCTCAAGGAAGCACCCAAGAGGGCAGGCACTGGAAGGCCGTGCCACCCCAGAGGAAGCTTAGATCCGCCCTGGGGTCTGGATGCAGCTCATCTGGGAGGCGGATGTGTTTGTGCACAGCTGGACCTCCCTTTCTGTTTAGCATCTGGATCCAGGGCGGTTGGGCAGAGCCACACTGCAGCCTGTGCTTCTCTGCTCCCACATCCACGCGTGTACTGGGGGCATGTGACTGGCGCGCCAGCATCTAAAACCAGGCCCCGATATGTAGAGAGAACGAATCAGCTTTTTGAAAAATAAATGCAAAGCGACACCTGGCCATGGCCCTGCGGATATGCGACTAGCCCGCGGGAAACTGTGTCCTATGACGCCCCAGAGGCTGCAGATGTGGCACTGTCACCTGCTGTCCTGGACCCTTCAACACTCAGTGGGGCATTCCACCGCACTATTCCAGCGTAATCAGGCCCATCATGAGAGGGCATTGGACTGGCAGTTTCTGGACTCACCGAGCATTTTGGAAGGAGAGAGTGGGCAAACCTGTGTTTTACTGTTTGACATTCAGATCTAGAGACACTTCTTTGTTGCACAAAAACAAAACTGAAAAAGCAAAGCAAACTGCTCATTAAAGTCACACATCGTGTTATGTGTGAAGAGGAAGAAATGACACGCTGAGGCAACCAAGACCCCATAATTACCCAGCCGAACAAGCGATTGCACTTACAGCTTGAGCTAATTGTACTGATAAATCCTTGTCTAATTAATGACTCTTCCAGCTAAAAATAGAATGTTCACTATTATGGTGCTGTCTGACCGGAAGGCAGCCTGTGGTTATGGCCCCTTCAAGAGGCTTTGGAATCCTAGAAGGGATCATAGCTAATCACATCTTTATACCAGAGATAGTGCTCAAAGTATTTTTAATTAAAAAGAAATGTTATGGGTCTTTGGGAATCAATCCTTCCTTGCCCTCACTCCTGCAAGGACCATGGGTGTGTCCCCTTTTGTTCTGTGTTCTCTTAGTGGATGGAACAGTGTCTGTGATATTATTCTCCAAAACCAGATTCCAGCAGGCTTGGACTTTGATAGGCCTTCCTCAAACGTCAGCGAGAGGAGAAAAGGCAGAGGAGCCATCACTAAAGCAACACTTCTGGACATTTCTAGACTACTTTCTCTCTCCTTTTGACTTTTTGTTTCCCAAAACACGCTCCTGGGAAGAGCTGGAGGAGCAACTGCTGACCTTCACTGCTCCCTCGTGTCTACAGGAGAAGCCCATCTCTCCCAACAGCCCCGTGAGCTCATTCGCTGGCAGGCTCTGCTGAGCGTGTCAGTCACTTGGCTGATTAACACTAACTGCTGAGGTAACTCCATTACACTCCCTCAGCTGAGGAACCCCTCCCTCTAGAGCGCCTCTCTCTGCTCCCACCCATCTCACCTTGCAGGTACATCTCCTCCCCTTCTGTGAACATCTGGTTGCATCTGCTGCATCGCGCGCAGCTGGGGTGGTAATGCTTGTCCCCTGCCTGCAAGAGAAGAAGCCAAGGCGTCATGTTCGCTCCACTCAAGGCTCCCACACCCAGTGCTGGACTCAGGACTTGGAAGGAAAGAGAAGATTCTAAGGAAGGAAAAGTAATGGTCAGGTTGGCCGACCTTCCCACCTCGTCCATCCTCCATGGGAAAGCCAACTTCCCTGGGCCCGAAAGGGCTCTCAGGACAGGGCAGTTCTTTCCCAGAATGGCGGTGGCCTTGTCTCTTGGGTTCCTGGCTCCTAGTCAGCAGTGTCCAGCTTGCACCAAGAACAGAAAATCCTTTTGGAGGACATCGTTGACTGCTTTCATCATAAAGCTCAGGGTCCCCTTTACACTGCTCACAACTGTGTTTTGACACAGTCTTACTGTGAGCATTCCCACGGAAGGCATTTTACTGAGGTGGCTGTACAGAGTTCTCTAACATTTTATACACTCAGATATGACAGAAGCATCATAGCAGGTGTCGACTTCCCAAGGCAAAGTGTCACTGGACACGGGGACAATTCTCCAGAGCAGTGTCGGGTCACATTAATGTCATGGTCCAAAAGCAAGCCTGACCAAACAGGATCCTTCATTTGTGGCTTAAAAGAGAATCCGCTTTCACCTCAGAATGATAAATATGCTCGAGATTTTAGTATTTTTATCAGTTGATTGTGAAAACATTTCTTTTGAACCACCTGTAGGCAGTGGCAGGGCCAAGAAAGAGAAGCAGCTGCTTCCTGCTCCTGACCCTGTGGGGACCTCAGCAGGAGCCCGGAAGCTTGGTGTGATTCCTGCCTCATGCCCCCTGCAGGAGCGACAGACCCCTCTCAGCCAGGGTGAGGTGATGGAAGGCGACTCAAGATGCTCCACCAGAAAGAAATGATAGCGGAATTTAAAACAGGGTTACGACATGATATATTTCAATGGCATTTGCCAGAAAAATCTCAGAACTGGTGGCCTTGTAGTTGACTAGCTATTTCTAATTAATTTAAAGATGCTAAATTTTATTTAGGGGAGAAGGATGGGACAAGGTTGCAAGTAGTAAGAGATGTAAGATGTCTGAATCTAAAGCAGCCTTTGCCCTTGCTATAAACAAAGTCTGGGGTGATCAGAAGGAAAAAGAAAGCTCTTATTCAGTGTCTAAGCCAGGCTAGTTTTGCATCAACTCAGAGCTTCAGGTTAGTTTGGACAATGTCCAGGTCCTCCCGGAAGGGAAGCACGAATGAGTCCTTGGCAGGACTTTGCTGCCATCTGTGACAAAATGCACAGTCCTCAATGAACTCTGGGCACAAACAAATGGAAGTGGAGGAAGTGACTTGCCTTACCTTGTAGCAAAATGTTAGACGCATTCTAAGCAGGCACAAGAATAAGACTACAATGCACATTTACCAATATCATCCTAAAGGTTTGGGCCAGAGCCAATATGAGAAGAAAAATAATAACTGTAAATAAGTCACCAATAAAAGGGTTTTGTCAAGTAATTAGAAACACACACACACCATTAGTTCCTACTCATGGAAATACCATGAAAAATGGATTTCCATTTGTAATAGTAACAATTAAACCGTGCAAAGCAAGATGTGTGTAAAGACATGCATGTAACTCCACTAAAGACTACAATAAAGGTAACTCCAAATTCTGGTAAATACTGTCAACATTCTGATTTATCTAAAATCAACCTGTTAATGTAACATCAAAATGCTCCACAGGTATTTTGTTTATCATCTTGACAGAGTGCCCCTACATGTTCACATGAAAGAAAACACAAAAATACAGACATAGTTTCTTTCTTTTTAAAATATTATTTTATGTGCATTGATGGTTTGCCTGCATTTATGTTGGTGTGGAGGCGTCAGATCTTGGAGTTACAGGTAGTTGTGAGCTACCATGTATGTGCTGGGATTTGAACCCTGATCCTATAGAAAAACAGTCAATGCTCTTAACCACTGAGCCATCACTCCAGCCCCCAGACATATTTTCAAAAATTTATCAGCAAAGAAAAGGGATTTTTTTCTTCTTGATTTAAAAATTCTAAGACTAAGAGAAGTAAGGCGCACGAACAACAGAGGAAAAGGAAATCACGGTGGCACAGATGACTGGAAGCAGCTGTGTGTACAAATGCAGAATTTACCAGATCATCGAACTGAAATAACACATGAATTGAAATAGGTTTTAAAATAAATGTTGAAAACAATTGGTTGTTCATTTTGAGAAATAAAAATCTTGATTCCTTATACAACCAATTAACAAAATTTTATGAGCTTACAAAGTCCCAAATAGAAATAAAATTATAGAATTATTAGGACACGTAATTTTTTTATAAACAGGGTAGAAAGGCAAAAAAAAAAATTACTGAAAAAAAATGCTGATCTGTATACAAAAACAACCCTCTAGACAGAAAGTTAAAAGAGAAACAATACAAAAACTTGTCACATGTTTCTTGCAAAGGGTTAATCAGCATGGATGAAGAGTACCAGTTCTGACACATAAATGCCAATATGGGCAAACGGCAGTTTCCAAAGAAAATGTGGATGATTCCCAAAAAAGAAAAAAGAAAGAAAAACCATAGCAGTCTCGGGGAGAAGAGGCAGGAAGCAGGGAAGGAGAGCAAGTAAGTTTCTCAGTCAGTTAGTTAGAAGTAAGTTGGTTAATTGATTAGTTAGTAAGTCAGTTAGTGTAAGCCCAGCAGTAATAATCAGGAAAATGTGGATGTGATGTTTTTCCATCAAACTAGTGAAGCTGAAAAGGAATCCAGTGTGATGAAGTAGGTAGGAGTTCTATACGCTGTCGGTGACCAGAGAGCAGAGAAAGTGCATTGTGTGAGCTGTCGCCAGGATGGATGGAAGGTGTGCCAAGGCCATGAGGCTGGGCTTGACTCTGGAAGTCAACGGTGGTCCGCCCCCAAGAAGGCATCCATCCTCCACCATGTCTTGTTCCACCACGAGAGGCCAAATGCTAGCACATCAACAAATTCACAACCTGCCGACTTCTTAGGAACAAACAGCAGCTCTGAGTCCTTGAGAGGTTTTCTATTTCTGAAACAGTGCAGGTCCGAGGGCTGCAGGACAAGAGAGGCCCTGCTCTCTGTGGGCTCCTTTCTTTTTATATAGATGCCCACAGCAGTTCACAGACAAGCCCTGTGGACAGGGCCGGAGAGTCACTGGAGCTGAACACACATGCAGAGTCATATGCAAACAGACCAAAACTCGGATGTGACTGAACCAACACGTCCACCAGAGACATTTTAGAAGGGAAAGTTTCTCAGATATGAGCAAGAAATAGAGATCAGGCATGACTTATCACGGAGGGCTAGCTTGTATAGAGCAGGCAGGGTCTCTGTGGTGGCAGGTGACAGCTCATGAGGTGCCTTGCCTGGCACCAATCCTAGGCACACAGCTGGCAACTCTAGCTATGCCCCAGCCTGACAGACTAAACATGCCACCACATGCCAGAGTTCTGGAAATTCTACTTTTCTCCTAAAAAAAAAAAAAAAACAAAAACAAAAACAAAAGAGAACAAAACAAAAACCCTGAAAATCTGCCAGGCATGGTGGCTCATACCTGTAATCCAAAAACTTTGGAGGCAAAGGCAAGGAGGCTTACCACAAAATCATTCTGGGCTAACAGTAAGCCAGCCTGGGCTACACTTGAGATCAAGACAAACAAAGCCTTAGACCCAGCCATTTAACTACTTAGAACTCACTTTCAGCACTTGAGGCAGAGATAGAGGCAGAGCAGAGCCGTATCTGAGAGTAAGAAACCAGCCTGGTCTACAGAGCAAGTTTTAGGCCAACAGCCTTCATAGTGAAACCCTACCTCAAATAATATAAAATAAAAAGAATTCCAGAAAGTCATAGTAACAGACTACATTCTATCTAGCATTCGGTGCTGCAAGGAATGCACAGTTTTGTCACTTGGCTGGACTTTCAAAGTGCCTTTCCACACACCCAAAATGTTAAACGGACAAAACCAAACAAAACCCGAACAAACCAGGGGCCCGTTACAGTCACACTTTGGTGGTTATTGTACCATGTGGTCAGTCTCTAATACATAAGCCAGGATTCTGAAGAAACGCTATCTATTGTAAGGTTTAATGCAACATACCAAGTTTTTATTGGACCCATGGCTGTCTGGAAAAAAGACATTTTCAATTCCTTTTGGACATGGAGTAGTTCGAAGGCTTGGGAGTCACAGAGCTCAATTCTGTCGCTAAGTTCCTTCCCAAGACCTGAGCACTTTCTGAGAAAGTGTGGAATAGCCACACAAAACTTCACCTCCCAAATCTTACTTGACTCTCCAGAACAGGGCTGGCAGAAGGCCACCTGGGTGGGGGAGGGGCATTCTTGCTGGCGGGAGCAGAGCTTTACCGATAGGCCACAGTGTCTGATGGCTGGGACAGACTGATTCCAGGGTTCCGACTGGCCCTGAGTCAACTGAACAGGCTACAGGCAGTGGGGAGAGAGAGGCATAATTAAGGAGCCTTTCCAGGACCATAATTCAGATTCCAGGCCGCCAGCTGCCCATCTTAGCTTCCCTTTATCCTCGTTTTGGAGTGCACTGCATCAGACATGGGCCCCTGAGGTTGACCTCTGTGGCTTTATCACGTATGACCCACCTACTTCCAGAAGGAGTGCAGATGTTGGTGTGGGGAATTGGAGCTTTCAAACAATTGATCAAAGGGCTCAAATGGGGCCTGCTGTGGTCTGAGCATTTTAATAGATGTGGCCAAGAATAGGTCACAAAAGTCTCCCTTCTTAAAGAAGCAGCCAGACATAAGAATCAGCGGGGAGGCCTGGGGCTCCACTATGAACACAGGTACTTTGGGCTGGTCTCCCATAATGTCATGCTCTGTGCCAGGTTCCATACATGATATTTTCAGTAAGAGACCCAGCAGGAAGGAGCTACAATTCCTTCAGAGCCAGAAGGCAGAACTGAGCCCTGAACACCGGCTCACCAAACTGGCTCCTAAGAGCACCGAGAGAATTCTCCTACGGGGTTCTCCCCTTGTGGGGC